GGACCAGGTCCCTGGCATCCATGAGGAGACGGTGTCCGGCTTTTGTTCCGTTCTCTACCAGTACCTGTTCACGAAAGGGGAAAATCAACAGATGCATGTCAGCAGCTCTTTAACAGCATTTGCAGATGCTGTCAGGCTTGGAAATGGGCATACAGAGAAGATCTTAAAGGAGGGATGTAGAGATCTGAACAGGAGAACCATGTTCGAGAGTAAAGGGAAGGAGAGGAAAGGCCTGAAGTCCATGAAGGTGCTTCAGTCCTTAAAGGGAAGAATTTTCAACTCACCAGAAAATGGCTTGTCTTACGCCACAGAGTGTGAAGTACTGCAGTTCGGTCAGCCATGCTGGGCAGTTCACTCAGGGCAAAGGCTGCAACTACCACATCGAACTGCACCTGAGGAGACAGGGAACATGAGAGAACTGACAACTCCCCCACCCTAAGTACAACAGAGCTCTGGCCCCTACATTTCTTTTATTGCTTTCCTTTATCTTCGAACACTCAATGCTAGACTGTAAAACTGGGGCCACCGCTTCCCCTCTGCTGCATTCCACATTTAGAACACCCTCAGTACTGCTACTTGCCTTGGGTGATACAGGTAGAAACTGTCTAAAAAAGACAGCTGGAACATAAGATTTCCCTGATTCTGAACCACCTGTGGAAGAAAGAAGAGATGTGGTAACTAAGAGTACATTTGAAGTAGCCAGGTATGGTGGCACACACCTGTAATACTAGCACTCAGGAGGCTGAGGCAGGAAGATCGCTGCAAGTCAAGGCTAGCCTGGGCTACACTGTGAGTTCAAAGGTAGCCTGAATTACATAGCAAGACTCTGTCTCAAATAACAAAAAACAGCCAGGGATTTAGCTCAGTGGTGCCACCGCCTACCTTGCAAGCGCAAGGTCCTGAGTTCAATCCCAGGTATCAAAAAACAAAAAACAAACAAAAAATGTACATATGAAGTTTATGGTCACAAGTACAAACTAAAGAGATACAGACCAGAAACAGCCCTGAGGGGGCTAAGGATTTAGCTCAGTGGCACTGCGCCTGCCTCACAAGCTTAAGTTCATGAGTTTGATCCCCAGTACCAAAAACAAAACAAAACAAAAAACCAAAACAACAACAACAAAAAGAAACAGCCCTGAGGATAAAGAAAAACACACTAGGTGAGACTATGCTGCAATCTGGTAAGTAAATGGGAAAAGGGATAGGGAGCGGATCAGCTCCCCAGTCCTGGTAACCTTACCCAACCCAGTCACAGCCCACAGAGGCCTCTAGCACCCTCTTCTTGATCATAACATTGCAAGACCAGATTTATCTGAACTCTCAGCCCTCTCCTGTATTTCCCAATAAAGCAATCTTTCTAGGACTCCTTTGGGTTCTTAACTCCCTCAACTTTGGAAAAGCCCTACCTTAGCACTTGTTCTTACCTTTCAGTAGTTTTTCTGCCAAATTCAACATGGCAGCTGAGCTGTCTACACACATATATTCACGGAGGCTCTGGCCCCAAGTAGCGTGAGCAGCCCTGGAAGCAAAACAAAAACAATACATTCTTATTTATTTTGGGGGGTTTTGTTTTTTTTGTTTGGAGACAGGGTCTTGCTTGAAATTGTGACAATCCTCCTGCTGCAGCCTCCTGAGTGCTGGGATTACAGGAGTGTAGCCCCAGGCCCAGCCCTCAAAAAGCCACCGATTCTTATGACAAAAAGTCATCCTTATGAGAGAGCCATCTACTCCCAACCCTAACCCTTGGGGAAACAAGTGTTATGTTAAAATACCTCGAAAAACTAACAATGTTATTTTCTTATTTCACTCACAACTCCTGAAAAAAAGGCAGACTCAAAAATCCACTATAGGCAAAATAATTTTTGATTGATATGTAAAACCTATTCTCTACACTAAATTTCTTTCCTTTTTAGCCTTTCTAAACATGGCCTCTTTCTGCACTTGACATTTCTGTAAGCTCCGGCCCCAATCCATATGCCATCTTCTTTCTTGCTTCATCTGAGGGAAGAAACACCGTAGGTCCCAATTTTCCTATTTCCTCTGTTTTCTCAGTTGTGATACTGAAGTGGTGTAAGTATAGCTTTAGAGCTAGACTGACAAAGACAGCTGAAGAAAGTTACTCACCAGGTGACAGAACCAGTACCAGAGCCAAAGTCCATCATGGTTTGTGGCTGGAACTGTGGAATTCGAGTCTGGATCTGAAGAAATATACAACATTCCATAGAAGGGTACACAGAGAATTACTTAGGGCCTTTGTAAATATGAATTAGAGGACTATGACAGAAAAGATGAGAGGTGAATGTATTTTGAGATTAAATATAAGCACTTTCTAGAATAGAAAGCTTGTGAAATAGTGATTTAAAAAAAAAAAAAAGACAATTTATTTGAAGGTCGGGGAAAGGGGAAGAGAGAGAGAAAGATGGGAGACAACTACTCTGGACCAGTAGGGAGTATTCAAAAGACAAATACTCATTCTTTTTTTTTTTTTTTTTTGGTACCGGGGATCAAACTTGGGTCCTTGCACTTGCAAGGCAGGCAGCAGAACCACTGAGCTAAACACCTGGCTCTCATTCTTTTTTTTTTTTAATGACAAAGTCTCACTAGGTAGCTCAAGGCTGGTCTTGAACTTACTATGTAGCCCAGGTTGGCTTTGAACACCTCGAAATCCTCCTGCCTCAGCCTCCCAAGTGCTAGGATTACAGGCCTGTCACCACACCCGGTGTGAAATACCAGTTGTAAACCTTCCTTGAGTAACAGAACCCTTTCATCAGAGGATAGAGACTTTCTTTTAAAATATGCACATATAAAGTCCCAAGAATCCCTGCTCTGGAAGACTACTTTAAGAAAAAGGGAGCTGAGGCAAAAAGGTTAAGGTTAGAAGTTGAGGGATTTTCACCTCATGGAAAGCCCTGGAGACTGCTGCAAAGCCACCGTCCAGTCTTGCTGCCATGTACACCAGGCTCAGTTCCTCATTGTAGCTGCAAGGAAAATCAGAGTCATATCCACTGGGAAATAACCTGAGTCCCATAGTTACTTTTTTAGGAGATGAAATCTTTGGAAAGAACTCTTCCAACTTTTCCACTCCCCAGTATAGAAGGGTCCAGGTAGCTTTCTCAAATACTAAAATGATTGTGTAATTACACACCCCTGATTCTGCTTTTCAAATTCAATGTTACCTTTGCACTTATTCTAGCCCTCCTCACCTTAGTTCCTGCCAATGGTAGGTAGTTCTTCGAAGGGCATGTAGCACTGCTGCCTGGAGTTTCTTCTCTGTCTGAGGTGTGTCTGGGGTGAGAACAAGGACTAGAGGTGAGCACCTGGAGGGAACAGGGATCAGATCTAATATTATAAAGTGTTTGTTTGTTTTTGGTACCAGGGATCGAACTCGAGACCTTGTGCTTTCGTGGCAGGCGCCAGAACCACTGAGCTAAATCTCTGGCTACTAGATCTAATATTAAATACACTGCCCAACCCAATCCTCCCTTGTTCCCACTGGAGCAGCCTCCAAGCTCAGGAGAGAAGCTAAACCTAGAGAAAAAATTCAGGGAAGAACAAGAGTAATCACCATCATTGCAAGAGTGAGTGTATCAGACAGGATCCTGCCTCTAAGATCAGTTTATTTAGCTTAACAAACCCTGCTCCACGAGTTTTGTTTTATATGAAAGAGAAATGTGAGAAAAATTTAAAGGATATGATAAGGAGGAAACTGTGGATTTCTTCAAATCCCCAAAATTTAAGATCATGAAATCTCCAACGTTCCTATGGGGGGGGGGGCGTTGAAAATCTGACTCTCATGACTGTGCTCAGTTCGGCACTATTTAGAAACTATCTATTGAATACCTACTCTGAGCCAAATATCATGAGGAGCGGAGTGAATACAAGATGAAAAAAAGGCAGGTCTGTAAGACGAAGAAGCTCATTACCATGAAAATATGCTTCTTCTATGTCTGAAGAGGGTTTTGGTACCGGACAGGGAGCCATGTAGGAACTTTATTTCACTTGAATAAAAACGCAAAACATCCTAATCCTGTGGACTTGCAGGAGGGAAAAATCCCAAAGAGCTGGATTTCTAAGCTTCATCCAAAACCCGAGAGCAACCTGTGGACCAGACTACTTTCTAGTAAGACACTAACAACTGCTCTTGCCAAAAAGTCAAATAAGAAAGTGCAGCATCAATTTTGGATTGTGAAATTATTCCTTACTTTTCATTTCCCACTGCTATTCCAATCTGGAAATATTCTTAACTATTCTTAAATCCTACCTGGGTTTTCCAGGAACTTTTTCTCAAGATGCATTGCCCGTCTCTGCAACTCCTCTGGCTCTACAGGCAAATGCCGGCTCCAGAGATAATTGGTTAGCGTTTGCACCTTGTCTTCTACATCAGACACTGTGCTGTCTGTGGGCCAAAGATGAAAAGCGGAATCACCTTTGTGCAGGCCTCATCTCATTTCTTTTCGGGCCTCCTACCCGGCGGTTACTCACCAAGCAGCAGTATCTGCGCAGCGTTAGCTAGTGCGGGTGGCAGCCGCACGTGCGGGAGGTGGAGGACGCCAGGGTGCTGACGGTGGGGCTTTTTCCCCAGAAAATCGGACTGGTTATCTACCTGGGTCACGCCAGGAACAAGGGCTGCGAGGGCCTGTAAGGCCAGCAAAGAAAAGCTGATTGCCAGGCAGAAATGAAGGATGCAGGTGCTTCCTCAGGTGGGGCTGCTGAGGGCGCTCCTCCTTGGAGCAAAGGTGTCTCTGGCAACCTTGTCACTCCGAGAGCAGCGGAAACAGACACTTACCCGGGACTGGGGAACTACTCGAAGGCACCAGCGCCAACTGCTTAACTTCAGTCTACCTGCGGTCGCCATGGCGCCGGAAGCAAACCGGAAGCAGAAGCGTAGCTGACGTTCAGTTCCGAAGCCCTGGTGAGCCACTTCCGCGTGTCCAAGACAATATCAGCCAATGAGAAGAGCGAATACTTGCAAGGAGCCAATAAGCAATTGATACGTAAATCCCCTTGAGGCTCACACTGTAAGTGGGTAGGATTTGGTCGCAGTTCTGGCGAAATCCGTGGGAGGCGAAGAAGAGTTTTTGTGCTGGCCAGAAATCTAACGAGCGGGGCAGGAATTGCTATAGACTGGTGAAGGCTCTGGATGTATTAACTGTGTTTCATGCACTTCAGCAGCTATGTAACAGCTGTTGGAAGTATGGTGCTAATTTGTGAGTCATTTTGGAACTGTGCATTGGAACATAAAGGAAGAAAGATGCTTGGTGCCAATGACACATAAATATCATTTGTCATGCTATCTGGGAAGAAGACCTTGACAAGTCAGTGATTTCTTTTATCTAAATGCTTATGCTATCCAAATCTTTCCAGTACTTGAAGTAGCGTCTGTCTCTTATATTGACAGATAAAATATACAAACGTCATATACTTGGATGCTCTCATTTTTTGAGGAACTAAGGCAAGAGATAGGGAGAAGGGTTTCCCTTCTACCAGAGCGAGGTTATTCATAAAAGCAGAAGTGTAGGATTATGGTTTGCACTGGATCTGTGTTCTTCAGTGAATTTAATACTTTGTAGGAAGAACTAGGACTGGAAATCCCATTTGACCCCGCTATTCCACTGCTGGGGATCTTCCCCAAAGAATTAAAAGAATCATACCACAGTGATATATGGGCAC